GTTTTCCAGTCTGTCAGTCATTCATTTAGTGAAAGTGCTCTGGCTTAATTTGGTGTTTATGCAGTTTCCCTTGTATACTAATTTGAACAGAGGTGTCTCCCCGGCCGTAATTATAGGGTCATTTTTGTCTCTATAAAAACTAGGTGACTTGTGGATTCACTTTATCATTTTTAGCGCTCTCTTGCTGTTTTTAAAGGACACTTTCACCAGGCAGATGAAAGACGACTGTAGAATTCAGGTGGTTCTGAGTAAGGCTGGTCCCCTGGGGGGTGGGGGCGTCTAGGTGGGAAGATGTGTTATTTCCATACCAAACACAGGGCACCTCTGCTTTCTACAGATGCCTGAATTCTCCTGGCAATCAATGCCATAGCCCGAGGAGTTTCAAAGCTCCCAGTGAAGGGCGGGAGGAAAAACAACAACAACAAAAACCCAAACAAAACCCAAAACCCCTAAAAGCAAAACATTGCAATGTTGTAATGGTAAGTAATAGAGTGGTGAGAAGTGTCCTTTATTGCTTTTCTTGTTTGTTACATAGTTCAAAGAATGCAAAGCTGTGAAATCAACAAAGATACACAAAGAGAGGCAAGCAGCTAAGCGGAAATAGTGGGGCAGGGGCACATAACCTTTCCGTCCCAAGGCCTTCTAGAGAAGGGAAGATATTTTCATCTGGGACTCTATGCAGGTTCATATAATTGGTTGAAAAAGCCTGAAATTTGTAATTATTTTAAACTATGCAGGGGATATATATCAGTGTGACACTTGTTTTCTTGGGAATTGTGGTAAAAGTAAATAATTTTTTCCTTTCTTTTCCTTATGCTTCATTCCTCCTCCCCCCCAACCCCAGTAATTCTCTTTTAATGGCAAAGCCCTTACTTACTAATTGAAGACAATGTTGCTGAGGGAGGTTGAGGAGTTGAGGATGTGTCTTTTTAAAAACATTAAGCCACACACTTATGTGAGATCTGGCTTAGCCAGAATGAACATTAGCTTCTACATCAAGCCTTCAGGAGATAGCTGATTTCCCCAGAAATCACCCTGAGGATAGTTTCCCTGTATTTCTTCTGGAATAGACCTGTCACTTCTAATATGGGCACTTAATTACTAGAGTAACAATCTGTCCGGGTGCAAGGAAGCATGGCATCCTTGTAATTGTGTGTATGTGCATTGGCAAGTGCAGGGAAGAAAGCATACTGAAGTTTCTGGAAATGCTTATATTCAGATAGGTCATCAGACTCCTATCCCATATTCCAACCCAGCAATCTCAGCTGAGCAGGGAGCGGAAGTCCCCTTTTCTCCAGCTGTGTCTCTGGCCGGCAGCTCTAGCTGCTGTGATTTGCTTGGTCAGCTTTCTGTTAAGGTGGACTGGGGGTGGGGATGGGGGCGCTTCCCTTTATGGCTCATCGCCCATCTCCCTGTTTGGGATTTAAGAGCTGTGAGAGTTCGTGGGGAGTCTGCCAACTTTCTCCCTGCCCAGGAAGGGATGTACATTAATATTATCAAATGTCTCATCAGTGAGGCAGCTGTGTTTTGCTGCAAGGACTGCAAAGCACCTGATTCATGCCTTTCCTAGAAAATAAATTATAATGGCCCCTGTCAGGGGGCACCTGTTAGAAGCCTTACAAAGCATATTCCCTGACTATGAATCAGTGCCTGCCTCTTTATATAATCTTCTGGGCCAGGCTTTAGGATATTCTGCCTCATCTGCCAAATTGACAAATAGCCCTACGCCTTGGTCTGTGCACGTGTTCTGTGGCTTCCCGATCTGGGCTCAGCGTAGGTCCTGGAAGACTGCACGGACGCCATCTCACCACCAGCTTCAGTGCTTCAGGATCTAGTCAGGTTCAGAAGGCAGCGGGACCCAGCACGAGCATTTCCAGATGCAATTTAGGATGTTCTACTCGGGCATTCTCGGTTTGAGCCAGCTTGCTCTCCTGTGTGGGGGCTGTCTATGGATGGCCACAGGGGAGGCGTCAGCAAGCAAGACCTGCTTGGTTTGCTGGGGCTGACTGAAACCGTCTGGGCAAGGCTTGCTTGTTTTAGGTTGAGAAGCAAGAAGGTGGTTCAAGAATTTTTGATATTTATACACCCTGCTACAAGAAAGAGAAGAATTTCTGCAGTCTAGGCTTTTCTGTTGCGTAGTAGTTGTGTAGTCTCTGCCTGTATGTCAGCACTGAGGCTACAGCTGGCCATTTCCATAACTCTACTCTTGGAGTGGGGAAGTATAAGGAGTGAGGCCATACTATGTAGCTTAGTGTGAACACACGCCCAGAACAAACCTTAAGAGATCAGAAAGAGATGTTCCCTTACTTTGGTGGTGTGTGTGACTTTCCTCTTCCTTCGTCACGACAAACTTGATGTGCCCTGCTTTTGAATCCTGAAGGTGACAGGTCAGAGGGTGATGATGTAGCGTGTGTACATACAGATCTGGTATAAGGATATATTTATACATGTATATATACAGGCATGCAGGGAAAGTGCTAGAGATGACCTGCTCAGGAAAGTTCTTTCTTAGAATTATGTTAGAGATTTGAAGGCTTTTCAAGATCCACTGTTGCATTCTACACACCGCTCTCTGGACTTAGCGTAGCCCAACACATGACCTCATAGACCCATCCTGAGGACAGCAGTGGCCAGGGAAGGGGACTGCCTACCAGGCAGGCAGGGGACACGGTTGTTGTATATAGTGCTCAGTGCTCCTCACAGAGGCCAGAATAGGCTCATAAATCCTGTCTTCTCAAGGGCGACTTTTAACAGCCACAGCATTTCCTGGGATGTGGAGCTCCCGAGGCAAGTGAAATGCTCTGTGGCGGCTTGGGTGGGTCTTCACTGTGAGCTGGGAACGGCTGGGAAGGAGTGCGGGGGCGGGGAAGCGTCAGCAGGTGCTGGAACAAGAACCCGGCTACGGTGGGCCTCCCTCATCCTTTTGGGTTTCATGCAGTTGGTCTGCAGCTGAGGTAACGTCACCTATCCACACCTTCCCTCAGGTAACAGACCAGCCAATAATACATACTCACACAGTAACCCAGTTTGCTCCCCTTCAAGTAAAGCGCGGGGGTGGGGTGGGGGAACCACCGCAGGATTTGACAAAAAGTTCACTTATTCATTCTCTTTCCAAGGAAGCAGCACAAATTCTTGCCTCAATACAACACCCTGCCCTTGATGAAGATGCGGGTTTTTCTCACTCAACTGACCACTGACTTTGCAAAGCGGGGGTGGGGGCGGGGGTGGGGCGGGCTCGCCTCCGCTGTGGCGGCCATCTTTATTTTCCCAGAGGTCCTCGGTGCCCGGAAGCGCTTTCTGCTGGCGGGGGAGGAGCGGACCCGCGCTGCCTGTTACCGCCCTGCGCTGTGGAGGGAGCTGGGGTCTTGTGGAAGGATTACTGAGCTTGATCTGGGGCTGTCAGGTCTCCCTCCCTCGCTCTCTGTGAGTTGCGCCTCCTCTCTCCCCATGTGAGGAGGTCCATGCCCACAACAGAATCACAGCGTCATCAGGGATACAATAGACTGGAGACAAGAACACATGCCGTAGAGTTGCCCGTATGGGGCGTGGGCCGCCTAGGTTGGAAGGTGGGTGCCGAATAATGGGCCATCCTCTGTTTACTTTTTCAGCTGATTGAAAGGAAAGCATGACTTGGGGGAATGAGAAACACTAATTTTTCATCAGTTGACTTCGCTGCCTCCTCCCCTCCCGTGATGTTTTTTATTTTCTATGGACACAGACCTGAGAAATCATCCAAGATATTAAACAGAATTGGGGGGGGTATGAATGAAATGAAAATGTCACAGGAATGCTGAGCAAAATGAAGAGATCAAAACCCTGGAGTGACTGGGTTGAGGAAGAAGCGTGAAGAAGTCTTCAGTGGACTCTACGCTTGAAAGAGTCCCATATGGGGTCCCTGTGGAAGGAGAGACACAGATTTTGCATGTGCCTTAACCAAATCCTGGTCCTGGCACCACTAGGCGGAGGACTCAGAAACCTTCCTGAGTGTGCTGAGTGTGCAAATGCCTTTCCAAACATCTCTAAGCTACCTTAATCCAAGCAATATTGATCAGAATCAGTTTAGTTCTATTGGTGGAATAATGATTTCTTTAGATACTGAAGCCCTTTATGAACCACATTGGAAGATGCTTTAAAGAACTGCGTACGCCCTTATATTCCCATTAGGTGGCAAGTTTCACTGAGCCCCTCTACTCGATGATATTTCTTATTACATATGGCAGGCTCTCTGGGCAGGCATTTGGATTATATGTGAGCCCTTAGCATCAAAGTACGCCTAAATGACAAAGCTAGACTTGCCCCCCCACCCCCCTTTTTGGATGATAATGAGACATGCATTAGAACAATATAGGTTCAGTTTATATAGTCTCATTGTCCTAGAAGAACACTAATTTGGTTTGCAGTTATATTTTCTACTTGCATGCTAGGGCAATATATTAAAAAATTTTCAAAAACTCCTAACCCTGGTCACCTCTCCCCTGCCTCTCCCCACCCCAAAGCAATATCCACTCAGTCTGGGTTTTACATCTGTCTGTCCCAAGTAAACCCACGGGTTTTGATCAGTGTACCCCAGCAGGGGTGGGCAGATAGTCTTCACTGTTTGGCTGGTGGGAATATTTTGGAGGTCTCATCTCAGGGTCCCTACAGACCCTCTCCACCAAGCCCTCCCTCCTGCAACAGATTTCTCTAAAATATCCACCTTACCAGACAGGATCCCAATAAGTCCAAGGTAGGCTGAAGGTCACAGCAATGATTCTGTTAGTTTACCTCTTGCACTTAAGAGGTAAAGCTCTGACTGAAGGTTGATGCCCCTCTTCAAATAGGTGCTATAAATATACTAGAGCTATCCCTGAAAAGATGCATTTGTATTTATATATATATATATATATGTGATGATTTTATATATATATATAAAATTTTTCTTTTTCTTTGTATACAGGTACGTATTACTCTATAGGTATGAAAGGAGAGGTATAATACAGGAACAGGCAGGGGTATGTTCATGTGCATCTATTTAAAATTTGTATATTTTGTACGTATATAGAGAAAGAACCTCTGTCATTGTTTGCATCGTTACAATGAATGTACCTCCGACCAGCGAGGAGTACCTGTCAGTGGTGAAATGGAGAGAAGCCCCAAATGGACGGTTCTTGCATGGTCTCTTGTGTGGAGCTGTTTCAGTAGGCAAGGTTGGCAGCAGCTTGTGAAATGAGTGGGCCCAGCGTGAATCCATCCATCCTCAAATCCACCAAGGAGGGACGCTCTGAAATGCCCATGGCTGTGTGTGCCAGCTGCCTCCTCTGGAGAGGTCAAGGAGCCTAGAACCCAGGGTGGGGAGGGACCATCCATGCTGTTAGTTCAAGATATGGCTTTTCCTACTAAATGGAGACAGGGCACACAAGAATTCTGTCTTCTAGGAGGACGCTGATCACCAGGAACACAAAGTAGAGGCCGAACATGATGAAGCCCAGCACTTTGTTCATCCGCCATTTGCAGAGAGCAATGGAGAGGATGACGAAGAGCAGCATGATGAAGAGGAGGACGATGGCACAGAAGAGGCCATTGCTGCTGACAGCCACTGGTTGGAACCTGTGAATGATGGTGTACAGGAGCCAGGGCAGTGGGAGCCTGTGAGGGATAGATGGGGGAGCGGTCAGACATGTTGAAGAAGCCATACGGCGTAGCATCAGCTTCTTGAAATCTGTAATCTGAGGAGGGTGTCTGGTTAGGTTCACTATGACTGGTGTGAGGCCGGCCCAGGAAATCACATAAGGAAGTCAGGTGACCTTCAAAAACCTTTATTTATTTCCTGACTGAATTAGGGAGAAGAGAGGATTCATTCTAGGGCTGAGTAAGAGCAAAGCTGTGACCACTGCAGGTGATTTTATTTATTTATTTTAAAATTAAAAATTATTTATTTTTTTATTTAAAGTTTGATTTATTTAAGAGAGAGAGAGCGAGTGGGGGTTGGGGCAGAGGGAGAGGGAGAGAGAGTCTTAAGCAGACCACACACTGAGTGTGGAGCCTGCCACGGGGCTCAGTCTCAGGACTCTGAGATCACGACTTGAGTCGAAATCAAGAGTCCCACGTTTGATCCACTGTACCACTCAGGTGCCTCTACTTACTTATTTTTAGAGAAAGAGAGAGAGTGAGCTTAAGTGGGGGAAGGGGCAGTGGGGGAGAGAGAGGGAAAGGGACTCTCAAGTTCCGAGCTCAGCATACGCTTGATCCCAAGACCCTGAGGTCATGACCTGAGCCAAAACCAAGAGTGAGACGCTTCTCCGACTGAGCCACACTCGTACTCCAAAAGACTAGTATGACCACCACAGCTGATTTCTGAGTGGGAGTTGAAATAATTGTGTTTCTTTCTTACCCTAAAAAGGTGAACTGGAAGATTTGTACAGGACAGGAGAAGGAGCAGACAAATGGAGAAAAGGCATAGAAACCAGTGGTGAAAATGGCAACATTATATTTAGGGATGGAGACAAGGAATAGCAATGACTTAATTACAATCTACCAGCCAGTGAAAACAAATGATACATGATTTAGCTGACTGAGATTTATTTCGGAAAAGATGGGACAACCTTTTGACTAAAAATTTGTCTTCCTGAAAAATTTGAGGAAGATAGTATCTTACATTTGTGATGTGGTTTTTAAAAAAACGCTATTACGTATTTTTACATCTGCTCTGTCCTTTTGTATTTGACTTCTAAAAATCTGGTAATATCTTTTGTTTTCTATCTAGAGTGGCGATTCTGGAAGACATCAGAAAAGCCAACTGTCAGGTGCACCTTGGGAGTGAGTGAGGACTCTGAGCGAGAAGAAAATGGCCGATAACACATGACCCATGTGGCCTGTGCATCTCTAGGCGGCTGGGTGAGACGCAGTGCTATCCATTGAGCCTAATGATGGAACGTTGGCTGGGGAAACATGGACACAGCCACCAAGCTGGATGAAGCTTCTGCAAGGTCTTAGCCTTTGGCTAAGGGAGATTTGGTTTTGGTCTGACCTCAGAGAAATGAAAGAAGAGGTGCTCTTTTGAAGCTCAAGTTCTTGAGAGGAAAAGCAAATAGCTTGAGAGAAATAATGAGGTGAAAGGGGTAGTGAGTTTACATATCTGGACTCCTCCATTGGAGGGAGCAGGTGAAGGCAGAGCCCTTGAGGGCCTGGCACATACAGGCCCCGTCTGGGTTCATATTTAACCTGGGCCAAGCTGAAGTGATTGATGCAACTGCCTCATGGCAATCAGTACAGGTGTTTTGCTCACTAGAGCCCGGTTGGGAGGCGCAGACTTCCTGCACCAGGTCAGGAGGGGAGGGGTTCCACAGGCCACCTCTGGGCACAAGGTGCAGTTCCAGCTCTCAGCGGGGGGTGGGGGTGGGGTGGGGGGGGAGCCCTGGCATCCTGCTGTCAGTAATGGAAAGTTAGGAAAAGAGGGAGTGGGGTGTGTGTATGTGTGTGTCTGTGTTGGGGTGAAGTGCTTGCGAGGAGATGGTACAAACGTGAAAACCTCCACTAGGGACTTGTCCTGGGGAGCTCTTGTTCCATACTGCCCATTCTTAGGAAGAAAAGACCAAAACCATTGTACTCTTATTAAGCCAGACATGCATGTGTGTATGTACGTATCCAAGTAAAGTGAAGTTGTGCTGGATGGCACCACAAATAGGTAAAAACCCTCTGTAGGAAAAATTACATTTTTTCATGCCTTTTGATCTACCAGTTCTATTGTCAGGGAGCAAGAATGTTGGGGTGCCTGGGTGGCTCAGTCGAATAAGCATCTCTTTTTTTTTTTTTTGAAGATTTTATTTATTTATTTGACAGAGAGAGATCACAAGTAGATGGAGAGGCAGGCAGAGAGAGAGAGAGAGAGGGAAGCAGGCTCCCTGCTGAGCAAAGAGCCCGATGCGGGACTCGATCCCAGGACCCTGAGATCATGACCTGAGCCGAAGGCAGCGGCTTAACCCACTGAGCCACCCAGGCGCCCCGAATAAGCATCTCTTAATTTTGGCTGGAGTCGTGATCTCAGGGTTGTGAGATGGAGCCCCGGGTCTAGCTCTGCTCTGTGTATGGAGCCTGCTTGGGATTCCCTCTCTCTCCGCCCCCCTCTTCCTCTGTTCCTCCCCTGCCCATGCTCTCTCTCTCTTGCTCCTAAATACATAAATAAATAATATATATTTGAAATATACATATTTATAAAACTTGCAAATGTAGTTTTATTCAGAAAAATGATCATTTCAGGGCGCTTGGGTGGTTCAGATGGTTAAGCATCTGCCTTCGGCTCAGGTCATGATTCTGGGGTCCTGGGATCAAGTCCTACATCAGGCTCCCTGCTCAGTGGCGAGCCAGCTTCTCTCTCTGCCTCTCTTTCTCAGTCTCTCATGAGTAAATAAATAAAATCTTTTAAAAAAAGATCATTTTTTCTGTATTACTTTGAGTAGTGAGAAATTGGGGATACCTTAATCTCTAATTCAAAAAAACTAGTTAAGTAACAAACTCATAAGTCGAAGTAGTGTCATATAGCCGTTAAAAATCATAAGCTTATAATGATATAGGCAAATACTCATGATGAAATTCTATAGTTGAAATGAAGGATGAACATAAAAAAAGCAATGTTATTTCAATATTATAAACTATATATATCTAAAACAGAGTGGTGTATTATCATTGATTTTTATTTATGTTTTATATGTATTTTCTAAATCTTTTACAATGAGTATGTATTAATAATAAGCAAAAGCAAAAGCCAAGAAGACTATGAAATATCTTTTATGCTCAATATATTGCTTAAGAGTTCATCAGTTGATATAAACTCTTTTTGGAAAAGTATACATCAATAGCCATTAAAATGCTCATTTAATTAATATTTATTGGAGGAATTTATTCCAATAAAAATAATTATAAGAGGAAGTTTTCTGCATGAAGATTTTCATCAAAGTACCCACAATTGCTGAAAATTGGAAAAAATAAAAAAAATTGTGGCTAAACTGAAAAGCAACAGGGTGAAATGTAGCTGTCCCTCAGAATAATATACTGCTTAAACTATAACTTTAACTAATAGTTGTACTGGTCATGCAAGCATGCTTAAAGATGACCTTGAGAAAAACTTGTACCAGCAGCAGGCCTCTGGTGGAGGGGATGATACCTGTCCTTGAAGCCGAGCAGCTGGGAGCACCCCGGCCTGCTCAGGGTGGAACCCGCCCACTTCCCTTTTCCATCATCTCCCAGACCCTCTGAGAGCCTCCTGCTAAGGTAATCCCTTTAAGTGCGCTTGCACAACTACGGAACCCTGCTGCCAGAGCAGACACACCTTACTCCTCTTGTTTACTTCATTTATCTCTAAAACTTGTGACCAACATATGACTCATGTTCCTCCTTGGTTACCCAGGAGATGTACTAGGTACTAGACGTGTGACTCTTCTATAACCTTCTTTTCTTCTCCTTTGCTATCTTGTATCGAATAAACACGGGACTGAGGAGTTGTTCTGGGCGACAGTCCTTCCAGCTGTCATCCCCGGCTCCCTCTCTCTTACAGCTGACTTGTTTGTGCCTCATTCTTCTCCCGTATGCTGTTAGGAAAGCGGCAGTGAAATACGTTGAAGTGATAAGCTGTTAATTATGAGAGCTACAAAGAAACTTAGAAAAATAGTTGATTTACTAATTAGCTAACAGATGCCTACATTGTGCCAGGCAGAAACAGCTTTAAAATGGAAAAAAAAAGCCCCCCAAAAGGACAAAACTGAATATTCAGGAAGAAAATGTGAAATACTTGAAAGCGACCATACAAAAGTTAAGTGTTGGTCTTGGGTAGTAGTGTTAGGGGTTACTTTCCCTTACACTTCCCTGTAACCTGTGACTATATATACAATTTAAGAACACTGAACATAAGCATCTTTTAATTCCCTAGAATATTTATTTTTCAAAAACATGACCAATGGGCCTTACGATTTTCCCCAATTCGTAGGGTTTTCTCTTTGTATTAAGCCATTTTATTTTCCTCTTTACAGGAGACTGACCACAAAAACTACTCTAAATGTGTAATCAGTGCAACTGAGAAATACTGTTTCTACCAGAGACCCCCTTCCTTCCAAATAGCTACCTTTTAAGGCATTCATTCATACATTCAGTCAGTCAGTCTGCAAACATTTGTGAAGTCACCACGGTGCATTAGGGATTGCTTGAGGCTACGGGGAGCTGTTGCAGACTGATAAACATGACCGTGATAAGAGCATGATCTGCAGAGAGTTCCCAGGAACGTCAGGCCCAAGGGCATCCGGGAAGCTGGGATTTGACATTGGTAGGGTAAGTTGGAGTTTTCCAGACAGACATGTGGGAAGGAATCTTGAGTGAGAGGGGCCTGTGAAGGAAGGAGATACGGCAGGAGAGGAATCCTTTGGGATCCATAGGTGGTTAAGATGGTGGGAGCTCAGGGCAGTGTTTTATGCAGAGTGTCACGGTGGAAGGCACAGACTCTGCCCAAATCCCAGCTGTCTCACTTACTGGTTTTGTGAACTCTGTGCCCTTCAGTTTCCTTATCTGAAAAGTGGGGAACATAATACATATGTCATAGGATCATTGTGTGGCTTCAAGGAATAAAAATGTACATAGAGTTCACAAAGCAGACACTGAGAAAACCCAGCCAACACAAAGGTATAAGAGAATAATATGGAAGATGTTCAATGCGAAAGTAGATCCATAGTTTCTAAATTCAAGTCTCAGGGACTCAGTTCCGGGAACATAAGGATCACATCCCATGTCTTCCTTTCTCAGGGGTTCTCATTCAGCATTACTTATCAGACTCCTTTTACTTCAGACACGTTAAATGAAATGACAGAAACAAGAGTGTCCCAGTCTGACCCACTTTAGAGATGATTCGTATTGAGAACTCCAGATTGCTTAGCTGTAAGAATAGATCTCATCTTTTGATTTTCAAAAAACCTAGAATATCTTGTTTTATTTTTTATTTTTAAGATTTTTTTTTTATTTGTCAGAGAGAGAGAGCACAAGCAGGGGGAGAGGCAGGCAGAGGGAGAAGCTGGCTGTGGGACTCGATCCCAGGACCTTGGGATGATGACCTGAAGCAGGTGCTTCACTGACTGAGGCACCCAGGCATCCCTGAGAAACTTAGAATATCTTTACCAGCATACATAAATAACAATACCAAAACTGCCAGCCTTTTCCAAAGGCGATAGAATATTTTTGCTGGGACTATGTTTGTTCCAATTTGTTTTATGATACAAAATCTCGGGATGCCTGGGTGGCTTAGTCAGTTAAGCCGCTGCCTTTGGCTCAGGTCATGATTCCAGGGTCCTGGGATGGAGTCCTGATTTGGGCTCCCTGCTAGGCAGGAAGCCTGCTTCTCTCTCTGCCTCTGCCTGCCACTCTGCCTGCTTTTGCGCACATGCTCTCTCTCTCTGATGAGTAAATAAATAAATAAGTAAATAAATAAATAAAAGTATTTATTAAATAAATAAAATCTTTAAAAAAAAAAAAGGAAAAACCAAAATCTCATCCGAGGCTGGTGGGGACTTTAATTAGAATTAGAATATAGAAAAAAATACAGGAAAACTGCACAGCATCTCCATCATACCTGAATACTGAATATTCTTAACTTGTAACCCATGCCATTATATAAGCAAAATTCCTAAAGTATTTCCTACAATATCCACTCCATTTGCAGGCATGTGTTTTTGCCTACCTAGGGAGAGCTTATTCTTCATTAAGTTCTCTGAAAATGAAAAATGGAGTAAGTGAACGGTACTCCCAGTGTTTACTTTTTATTGGTATTGGTTAATTTTGGGCTCAGAGATCCTGGTTGTGTCTTCACAGCCTCTCAGAAGACAAAGCCAGACAACGCCAGAAGACAAAGCTGGTGTGTCCACTTTCATGGAGCTGTCTCTACTCACCCCACAGTGATGTCAAAAATGTTGCTTCCAACAGAGCTGGACACAGCCATGTCTCCAAGTCCCTTCCGGGCCACTATGACACTGGTGATAAGATCAGGGATGGAGGTCCCAGCTGCTAAGATGGTCAGACCCATAATCTCTTCACTAATGCCAATGGTCTCTCCAACCTGAAAGTAATGACAGGGACACATATGAGTGTTTGAAGTCACAAAACCAACAAACTCACAAACATTTCCATGCAACCCCCTTTCTTTATAAGAAAGCTTTATTTATTTACTTGAGAGAGAGGAAGAGAAAAAGCAAGAGCAGCATGCGTAAGTGGGAAGGGCAGGGAGAGGGAGAGAGAATCTCAAGCAGACTCCCCACTGAGCATGGAGCCCGACGTGGGGCTCGATCTCACGACCCTGAGATCATGACCTGAGCCGAAACCAAGTCAGATGCTTAACTGACTATACCACCCAGGCGCCCCACAACTCCCTTTAAAATAATCCCTCCACTATGCGGGGGGTCTGAGATTATAAAGAAGAGTAAATATATCAGCACCGTAGAGGAGTTCATTCGTTAACCATATTCAGACCCAGGAGATCAGGAATGTTCACAGGAGGATTAAACAGATAATCTCAGGAAAGAGCTATAGGGGGCTTGAATGCAGGCTCTATGTGATGTCTGTGAGCACTGAGCAAGGGAGGCAGAAGAAGGGAGTTCTAAAACTCAACTGGCCATTGGCTCCAGGGGCCAGTGCCTGACAATGGTACCAAATCCTGTCTCAGATTTGCCTTTGGATTAACAACTGAAGGTTAAGGATGGACACCCAGTGTTCCCATTTTCTTTTGCCATCTCCTAGTGTCTGTAACCCACTCTCCAACACTTTCAGACTACTGTTTCCATAGGAAACTTGATTTGGGGTATTTTGGGGCTTGGTAATACAGGACTATAAATCAGCCAGGCAGCTGTGGAGAAACCAGCAGTTAGGGAATCACAAGTCCAAGGTCTGGCTTTGGCATTTATTAAGAACTTGACCTACTGTTAAGTTAACCAATTGTGTAATGTCTTTGATCCTTGCTTTCTTATACTTAAAGTGGGGATGATAATATCTATCTTACATTGGTTGGGAGAACTAAAAAGATGATTTGTGGAAAAGCCCTTTACAAATAGTATAGCATTACTGAAAAGCAACAGGGGACATTTATTATGTTTTATTTCGGTCTTTGCCTTTTTTTTTTTTAAGATTTATTTATTTGAGAGTGAGAGAGAGAGAGAGCATGAGATGGGGGAGAATTAGAGGGAGAAGCAGATTCCCTGCTGAACAGGGAGCCCGATGCAGGACTCAGTTGCTTAACCAACTGAGCCACCCAGGTGCCCGTCTTTGCCTTTTAACACTGAGGAGGTCTATTTTGGACAGCTGGTCTAGCCTTAGCTGGAGGAACCCTCTATTCTATTCTACTCTATTCTATTCTATTCTATTCTATTCTATTCTATTCTATTCTATTCGATTCGATTCGATTCGATTCGATTCGATTCTGTTCGATTCGATTCGATTGATTCTTTTGCTTCTCCATTCTCTTGAGCAACTTTTTAAAGAGACTTCTTGGGACTTTCAAAAGCTTTATATGTTTTCTGGAGTCAGCAAACTGCAGTTCTGAAAACTTTAAAACTAATGTTTTCAATAGCCTACTTGATGACATTTGTCATTTTTGGAAAAAAATTCAGAGGGCCAGAGTAGCATGTAAGAATAAGGGTTTTTAGGGAATTGAATGTAACTCATTTTTAAATACCTTCTGTGACTTATTAGTAATAGCTTCATTTCCATTAACTTAAAAGCAGAGTTGGGAGCTAATTTTGTTTTGATGGTCAGGTTGGCTCTAGAGCCTGTCTAGCAACTAGTTTATCCTGTCCTCATGGAGCAAAGAGTCACTGTTCTCCATCAGAAAGGAAGTCCATGGGGGCACCTGGGTGGCTCAGTCCGTTAAGTGAGTGCCTTTGGCTCAGGTCATGATCCTGGGGTCCTGAGATCCAGCCCTGCTCAGCGGGGAGCCTGCTTCTCCCTCTGTCTCTGCTCCTCCCCCAGTCCCGCTCTCTCCTTTTCTCTCTCTCAAATAAGTAAAATCTTAAAAAAAAATAAAAAATAAAGGAAATCCATGTGAACAGAATCACTGCTTTGATCACTATGGTCTCCTTAATTCACAGAATATTGACTGGTACTTAGTACACTCTCAATACCTATTTGCTGAATAAATCAGTCAATCTGCACACTTAGGTGATTTTACTGGCATATTTTCCACCAATTCTCCTAAGAAAATTAAGTAAGAGTTCTGCACAGGAGTGCCCTCTTCGAGCAGACCTCTTCTTGATGACCTATTTTTTGGGTCTGATGTGGAATGAAACACTTTCAGAGACTCTGAAAATGCTGACTGAATGACTGTCATCCCCAATAAATAGGCTGATTCCTCGAGGGAGTTCTGAAGCAGTGACTATTTTAAAATAACACTTATATTTAGAGTTCGAATGGCTCTACAGACAGGAGGAAAGCAGAGACTGAAGAGGGGTGGTTTGGTGGTTAACAGGGATGGCGTGGATACAAGGAGACCTGGGGGTCAGTGTCGCCTACCGCTCCCAGTACCTGGAAGCCAACTTCCCCAAGCCTCAGTTTCCCTCTTTTGTAGAATGGGGATAATAACATCTACCCTCAGAGCTGTTGTGATGATGAGACAGCAAACAGCATAGTGTCAGGTAGAAATAGTCAATAAATATCAGCTATGCTAACTCAGACCCTACTTCTTTCTCTTTCTGACTTATCAGACGGCAGGCACGGGGCTCTGGCTGCAGAGACCGAAGCTGGTTAATAGACGTCAGCCTCTGATGTGAGAAATCCCCAGGATAATGAAGGCTTTTTATTGCCTATCCAACTCCTGATGAATCTGTGCGGCTCCTAGAAACACTTTCGCTGATGGAGAGCTAGTCTCCTAAGCTCATTTTAAGAACGTTTCACTGCATTTGGCTTTTGGTGAGTTAGAGGCAAGATCGAATCAGTGGCATCAGCTAAGTTAGAGCTAGAAAGGACATCAGCAGTCTCTTGGGGGGGAGGGGCGGAATTCCTTTGTTTTCTAGTGGAAGTAGATGGGGGCGGGGCTACTCAGAACCCAAATCCAGTGCATCTCTGAGTATTGCGGGATGTGTTTCCTTGCCTTGGTTTAAGGAGGAACTGTAAAAATATCATATTGTGGAAATGAGACACAAGGTTGTATCTGACTCCCAGAATTAAGTTCTCCATGGGTTTTAACTATATGTTCTCATCACACAAGAAATTTATTAATTTCTTGGGGCTCTTGGGTGGTTCAGTCATTAAGCGTCTGCCTTCAGCTCAGGTCATGATCTCAGGGTCCTGGGATCAAGCCCCGCGTCGGACTCCCTGCTCAGAGGGAAGCCTGCTTCTCCCTCTCCCATTCTCCTTGCTTGTGTTCCCCCTCTCGCTGTGTTTCTCTCTGTCAAATAAATAAAATCTTAAAAAAAAAGAAATTTATTAATTTCTTGATGCAAAAACAATAAAAGGTAACAAAAACTAAGGGAAAAAATGCATGAAACAGCTTATGTAAAGGGCATTTATTTTTAGCCAAACAGTAGCTAAATAATGATATTAAAGAGCATTTATTGCTGGTAAGACTGAGGAAAACAAAACAGTTGAGCACTCAATGGTGCATCTGTTATCTTCCTTGCTTTTATAGCTCAAAAGTACAAGCAACAGAATTAGAGCTAGACTTCTTAGAACAGAACCTGCTATTTTGATCAGCTGTCTGGAAGTCTTAAAAGAGAAGAGCATTTCTATAGGAGAAAAGAAAGGGAAGCCTCTCATTCATTACTAGAAAGCAAGGTTTCTCTTTACGTACTTTATATTCCTGGGCCTTTTGGTGATTATTATTGCTCTAACCATTGTGTTTGTATTTTTCTATAAGAGAATGAAAAAGAAGCAAGAGTGTGGAATTAAGATAATCTTTAAAAAGGACAAAAAAAGATGGAAGTTTCTAGATTGATGTTTTCTAGAATGGCCAAAGAGAGAGAGATCTAGAAAACAAGTGAGAAAAAAACCCACCACTTTTTCTTTATCAGTACATGAAGGAATACAAATAGTTATTAAGAAAAACCATTACATGTTATAAATGGCAAACTGTCCTTCTAGCCTGGCAATCTGGTGGCTGAGAAGCCGCTCCTCTTCTGAGGTATGATTTCTGGCCAATATTGGTGGCAAATGACTGTCAATGAATGTGGGAAATCATGACTTTGGGGCAAGTGGAACTTCTTCCCGGGATCACAGTTTTTAGAAATATCCAGGTAGAATAATCTGAAGTTAAACATCATAAAATAACTAGGATAGGGGTAAGATGAAGAATCTTGTAGGAATAATACTGGATATACTAATTGACATTTCTGGTGGTTTTTCCCCAATGATGTTATATGTTCTTTCTCTTTAAAAAAAAAAATTAAGGTGTAATTCACATACAGCAAAGTCTAATTTGACATCCAGTAAAACCCATCCTTTAAAAAAGTGTATAGTTCCATAGTTTTGGTAAATGTGTTCAGTCCTGTGTCCTGTTTCTCCACATCCTCATCAACATGTCTAGGTTTTTGAGCATAGGCATCCTAGTGGTTGTGAAGTAGTATCTCATGTTTACTTTATTTTATTTTATTTCTTTAGAGAGAGAGAGAGCCTGTGCAGGCGAGTGGGCGGGGAAGGGGGCAGGGGAAGAGCAGAGGGAGAGAGAGAATCTCAAGCAGACTCCACACCCAGTGTGGAGCCTGACATGGGGCTCCATCTCACAACCCCAAGACTGTGACCTGAGCTGAAATCAAGAGTTGGATGCTTAGCCAATGGAGCCGCCCAGGTGTCCCTTATGTTTATGTTTTGTTTTTTTTTTTTTGAGGTCCTAGAAAAATATTAACTAACATTTATTAAGTGTATACTATATGCCCATCACCAAGCAGTGTTTTAAGTGCAATATCATCACATTTAGTGCATTTATGTTTATTCTGGAACAATACTCTCTCTTGAGATACAACTCACATACCATAAAACTCACTTACTTAAATTGTATATATAATTGAATATTTTAGCATATTTATAGACTTCTAGAGCTATCACCATAATTTAAATTTAGAACTTTTTTCATCATCCCAGGAAAAAAACCCTGTACCCATTAGCGGTCATTCCCCTTTCCCTCCAGCCTTCCCAACCCTAGGCAACCATTATCTTTCTGTCTCTGTAGATATGCCTATTTTTCACATTTTATGTCAATGACTCATTCCAACGTGATCTTTTGTGACTGGCTTTTTCATTTAGCATAATATTTTAAGGGTTCATTCACAGGTACCAGGTACCAATACTTCGGTCCTTTTGATTATGGCATAGTATTCTATTGCATGAATAGACCACATTCTGTGTTTCTGTTCATCAGTTGATGGACATTTGGGTTGTGCCCACTTCTTTGGCAATTATGAATAATGCCGCTGTGTGTATACATTTTTGTGTGGATGTTTTCATCTCTCCTGGGTATATAGGTAGTTGAATTCCTGGGTCCTATGGTAACTATGCTTAACATTTTGTGGACTGTCAAACTGTTTTCTGAAGTGGCTGCATTATTATACACTCTTACTGTCAATATATAAAGGTTCCAGTTTCTATACATCCTCTCCAACACTTGTTATTTATTGTCTGTCTTTTTGATTATAGCCATCCTAAGTGAGAGCAAAGTGTACCTCATTGTGGCACTGACTTGCATTTCTCTAGTGAATAATGATGTTGAGCACCTTTTCTTGTGCTTACTATCCATTTGCATATCTTTGGTGAAATATCTATTCAAATCTTTTGTCCATCTTAAACATTAGGATGCCCATAGATGCTTGGTCTTTTTATGATTATTTTTTTGAGTAGACTCCACACCCAACATGGAGCTTGAACTCATGACCTTGAGATGAAGAGTCATATGTTCCCACTGAGCCAGTCTGGTGCCCCTTGCCTTTCTATTATTGAGATTTAAGAGGGTTTAAAAATTATCTATCTATCTATCTATCTATCTGTCTGTCTCCTACATGGAAGTGCTTTTTCAGATGTATATGATGTATATTTTAGGACTATATCAAAGGACTATATTTAGGACTACATCAAACAAAGAATACAAGTGGGAAGTTTGAAACTTGTGTAGTTTACAATGGAGGAGAAAGACATGGGTTCTGGAGTTTCAGAGCCCTGGGTTACAACCTCAGTTCTGTTATTTAAAAACCTTACATGATCCTGAGCAATTTTTTTTTTAAAGATTTTATTTATTTATTTGACAGACAGAGATCACAAGTAAGCAGAGAGGAAGGCAGAGAGAGAGAGAGAGAGGAGGAAGCAGGCTCCCTGCCAAGCAGAGAGCCTGATGCGGGGCTCGATCCCAGGACCCTGGGATCACGACCCGAGCCGAAGGCAGAGGCTTTAACCCACTGAGCCACCCAGGCGCCCCAGATCCTGAGCAATTTTATTATTAGCTCTAAGCCTAACTCCTTTATCTGTAAGTATGGATAATAATAGCAGCTCCTTTGTGGGATTTGTGCCTCTGTACAGGGTGAATGTCAAGATCATGAAGACAAGTGATGTGAATTATCCAGCATGTGGCATCTATTCAATCAAGAATGGTTACCACTATTATCTCTGGGAATGTGAAATGTTTGTGCTTCATTCTTTCATCCATGCATTACAACAAACAATTCCTGACAGTTTATTCTTGTGATGGCCACTAGGACTGGCACTGAGTTCAAAGTGGTAAAAGCAAAATACATCATCATTATAGCAAACTGTGGTTCAAGGAAGAGACTGTTTTGTCTCTAGGTCTGTCCTAGAGCCAGTCTGAAAGGCTGGTGAAAGCGTAACGTGAGTGGCTGCCCAAGAGGAAATAAGTGCCATGGAGTCAGGCAAAACCTCGACATTCCTCCCAGATCCAGGTAGGCCTAGATTCAGGATGTAGAGGGCAAGAAGAGCTAGGGTGACCTCCTCCACATGGATGTCCAGGATTATGCTGATCTGACTCCCCACTACGAGAAAAGGCCAGGAGGTATGGGGAAAGTTCAGTGGGAGTAAAATCATCTAGTCCTGGAATAGGTACCTTGTCTTATCAGACACCTATTCTGACACTTTCCCGAAGCAACACATTGACAAAACCTTTGGCAACCATGAGCAGAACCAGGCAGATGCACGCTTTTCTCAAGGTCTTACCTGGTGTGCCCACCAGACCATCAAGTAAGAGAACACAGCGATCCAGGTGATGGAGCCAAAGAATGTGATGGGAAAAAACTTTCTTGATGACTGAAAGAGAGCCAGGAAGAGGTGGGAGCGTCAGTGCCATCCATGAGGTGGACCTGAGAGACCAAAGCTAAACCCACCAGAGACATTACTCCCCACCCCATGCTGCCTTCCATCTTTGTAGGCTCAGCACTCAAAAGGCCCTGCCTACCCTTGGTCAAGCTGGGCCAGGAAGATTCTCTCTTGGGAATGTTGGCTGGAGCCAAATCATCATCAAGTTAGTTCCTGGGATGGAAATCTCTTGAAGACAGTGTTTGTTCCTGCTGCTGGTTGCTCAGATGTCCCCCGTCCCTGTCCTTCCCAAGGCCTGGTCTCTCAGCCTTGGCCTCAATCTCTTGACCACCCCATAGCCTTCCTCCATCTCCTTTTCCTTTCCTCTCGAGTTCATCAGAATTGGTTTCTGTTCTTTACCCCATGTATCCTAGCAGTCCACTGCCCAGAAAGCCTAGGTGATTAATTGCTTTTAACAAGAAGGACCAATAGGTCCCCAAAGAGGTTCATCTTACTGTCTTGCAACTTATTTGGAGAAGCCACAAAGAAGCCATCACCATAGTTTCGATAGATTCCTGAGGACACAACCACCCTCCAGGACATTTGAACCACTCTTGTAGAGTTAGAGTAGACACAGGCCCCGGCGCACTGCTCTCCACAGAGGTGGTAGAGTAGATGATCTTGGGATGATTTTCTCTCCTATTCTCCAGCCCTGACCTCATAATGTCCATTTCTGCTTTGAGTGCTGGCCTTTGTGCCATCTCGGGCTTACAGTATGAGCACTTTTATTTTTATTTTAAAAATCCAATGATAATGAACATGTGTTATATTAGTTTCAGGTGTACAATACGAAGATTCACCGATTCTATACATGACCCAGAGCTCAGTGTGAACACTTTTAGTTTCTTTCAAATGTTAGCCAAAAGCAGACACTCAAAATGCAGTGTTTCTTACTGATCACACTACAAAGAGAACAGGCTTGCAGGGGTTGTATTGGTGTTTTGTTGAGAGCTTTTTCTGCAAAATTGGGGCCTTTTAAAACAGGCTCAGATAGCAGAATGCCCTCAGCTTCTCACCTGTTACTGCCAAACACTTTTTATTTCAAAGCTTTCCACTACAAGAAACAATCTCATTTTTTTTTTTTTTGCTTTGATAATGCCATCCAATTTTGTCCCGAGAAGTGAATTCTGAAGTTGATTTGGATGAAAGCTATCTCAGTTGTCTCAAGAGCTGACCTTGGGCAGTCACACAGAATGCTTTTTGTCATAGCTTTTGAGAGATTCATTAGAGGAAAAGATAAACTTGTACCTAGCAATGTTTTGAATATCTAAGATAATAACAAACACAGTTTCTATTGCTGCCAACCAGGCGTATGTTCTTTTTACTAATTTTGAGTTTTCAGTACCTTTTTTTATTATCGCTCATATTGTTCTGTTAAATTTCACACTAACCATTTCTTTTGCTTAACGAGTGCTGCTTTTTTTTGGGGGGGTGCTTTTCGTTAGCAGCAGTGTTTGCAAGACCCATGGGCTTGATTAAATTGGGGGAGACATCAGGCCACAGTGAGAAGGAGGAAAATATCGTGGCTAAAGACAGGCCCCAGCACTTTAGCGAGTTATGGAAAAAGAAAAGATCATCAAGTTTTCAAAGTGGACACTGAGACATTCACTTCTGAGGACAAATTCCTTTAAAGTTGATGATTCAGCTGGATTTTGGAGACCAGATTTTCCAAGCCTTAATTTGTCAGAGCAAAGAAGGCAAGTTTCCCCAGATATAGCGTTTAGCTGATTGGAGTCCCCATTCTTTTCCTCTGGTCACGGTTTCAGGATCCTAAGTGGGATGAGAATTTCATCTCCTGTGGCCAGGCTCTGTCACAGGGAAGGAAAAGGCCTTTCTTGGGACATGGGGCCACATGAGACTGGAGCAATCACCAGGCTGTGAACTTGATTCTGAGCATCCTTTGAGGGAACGGAGTACCGTCTTCATACTTTCCGGTACGATGAATGTACTGGAGATCTTGGGAGAGTCTTCATTTCATACATTGCTCATTTTACAGCTTTGATCATTTATTAACTATATAATTATTTTTTTCTTTAGTATGCCTTTGTACATCTGTACATTGAGTAATGGGACAAGTCAGAATCAAATTATTTGAACCTATTTCTCACCTGAAAAACATCCCTGCACCATAGAACATTCCTAGGCAGAAGGTAGAAACTACAGAAGGAGGCTAAGGATATAAAGGAACTAAGTTCACATCAACATGCTAATGAAAACCTCTTTCAAGGATGCTTGTGATTCTTGATCAAGAGGCCAATTAGTAATTAATGGACATCTATATATACCTAGTATTGTATCAGGGGCTCAGTGACAAGAAATTAAAGATAGTTTTTATTGGTGAGTTTCCAGGTCTTCACCATAAACTAGGGGTAGGTAAAGGCCAGATACCTTCTCTGTATTCAAATCTTGAACTAGACCTGAAATTCAAACCTAGGTCTCTCTGACCATCTGGCATATATACCTGATATTTAGGTCATACTGATTTGCTCTTAGAGAAAAACAGGACCAATAATGCTCAGAATATGCCCAGCTATAGACATGATGATGATGATCATTGTAACACTAGCCTATGCTCTGAATGTCAGAAAATACAAGGAGCATCGGGGAGATAGAGGCTAGCATTCCAGCTGAACGGCCATCTGCTTCACCCAACCTCCCGTATTGTCCCTGATTGGGAAGCATCAACCCTTTAGGCATTGTCGGTTCAGTTAAATGTTTCCCAACTGTCCAGCTACCTTATCTTTCCAACCTCACAGCCCAGGTAATTCTTTTTCCTTTCATTTTTTCTGAACGACTCCCCTTATTTGGATGCTATGGTCTCTTATCCCAGACATCGCTCCCCAGTCGCACTTGTGCAATTATCCAGTTCCCAGTCTCACTGGAAGGAAGAAAACAGCCCTTGAAGCCAAGGTCTGACATGTCAATTTCTGGTTAGTCATGGTGGCTCATCCTAACATCTGCTGGGATGAACCTCATCCTAATTAGCAAAAAAGCAAATTGTGTCCATGTGCCCGCCATTTTGTTCCCAGTATAATGGTTTATGTGTATAATAGACAGCTAATGTTCTCATTAGAAGCTTTTAGTACATCAGTGTGATACTTTCTTGGCTGGAAAAATGTTTCTGGACATTAGCTGGTTGCACAAATTGGCCATATCCTTACTGATTTAAATTTGACAAATATTCACTGAGCTTCTATTCTGTGCAAAGTTTGGGGACATACATATCTAACAACAGTCCCCCAGACAATCCTGTGACAGATTAAAAGTGTGTTCTCTGGATGAATATGACCAGTACTGAAATCTCTGCTCACCGATTACCAGACATGTGACTTGAGACAAATCATTTCACCTTCTAAGCCTCAGCTTTTTCATCTGCCAAATGGGGGGAATAACAATATCTAGTTGTTCTGAGGATTTCAGGTCTATGAAGTGTCTACCAAAGTGGCTGGCACATAGTAAGTGCTCAGATAATAGTGGCAGTTGTTTATTAGAAGTTGTTCTCTTCATTTTGGTTTTTAAGAGACAAGGAAACTGAGGTTCAGAGAGGTGGAAGTGGCTGCCAAGACTGGGCTGGGGGTCTTGGCTTTGCCTCTCATTTGCTGGGTGAGCTTGGACAAGTCACTAAACCTCTCTGGGTCCCAATCCCCTCCTTCTTGCTAGAACTGTGCTCAGGACACAGCAGACCCAGTAAATACTTGGTGGATGAATCGATGACTGGTATGAATCGCAGGAACAGAGCTGACTTCTTAGGTACCTCCCCCGTTCAGATGGTCACATTTTGATGCATTTAGATGCATTCTTATTTTATAAGATCACCCATCCTAAGTCAGGAGTGCATATAACTTTTGGAGGTCTTTATTTCCTTTATTATTTTCAATATTTATCAAAGACATGTTCCTCATTAAGGTTTATATTTTAGTTCTTTTGCTTTGAAACCAAAGCCATTATTTGAAGAAAACGATGAAAGTGAATTAATCGGAAGTGTGTGTAATCCAACAAATACTGTCATATAATTTGCATATAAATGAAGTGGAAAGAAAAACAAGGGGGAGTACTGTTTACCCTGAAACTGGATGGCTACTAAAAAATCACGTTTTCCTCGTAATTACTGTCAAGGTTTGGAACGTTCATCTCCACGGGTAATTCAAAAACTACTGGGGAAACAGAGTTGCCAGGCCCTCCGGAGGAGCCTACGTTTATTAATTAATAATTTTCTCCTCTCTTTTTCTTCTCCTTTGATGTTTTTTCAGGAGGGCCTGGTGGCAGGGCATGAAGGCCTTGGTGGACTGCCAAGACGACCACAGCACTTCCCAGTTCTTTTTTTTTTTTTTTAAAGATTTTATTTATTTATTTGTCAGAGAGAGAGAGAGAGAGCGCGAGAGTGAGCACAAGCAGATAGAGTGGCAGGCAGAGGCAGAGGGAGAAGCAGGCTTCCTGCTGAGCAAGGAGCCTGATGTGGGACTCGATCCCAGGACGCCGGGATCATGACCTGAGCCGAAGGCAGCGGCTTAACCCACTGAGCCACCCAGGCGTCCCCCCAGTTCTTCTTAACAAGAGGCGAGCTCTGTTTCCCCACCCTTTGAATCTGGGCTGGTCTTAGGACTTTCTTGGACCCACAGAACATGGTGGAAGCGACAGCATGCAGATCCCGAGCTAGATCTCAAGAGGTCTTGCAGCTTTCACTCTTGCTGCCCTTGGAACTCAACCATCGTGCGCGTCAGCTCCGGCTTGCCTGCTCAAGGGTCAGGGACCAAGTGGGGCAGAGATGAGCCTTTGCCGCTGACCTACTCCTAGACCAACAAGCCCCCAGCCAGGTCAGTGAACAGAACTGTCCAGCTGAGCCCAGAGCAAAGGGTCCCTTCAGAGAATTCTGGACTAAAAAAATTGCTTCCTTTTTAAAGCCACTACATTTTGGGCAGGGGTGTTACACAGCAGGTGATCACTGATCCAAGATCAAACCTCCTGAAACTCTTCTGTGCTAAGCATGATCAAAAAGCCACTTACTGGCTTTTGTATCAACTGGCATGGTTTCATTCGTTCTGTTTTGTATATGCAAAGGAGGGCCATATAATTCATCTGCCAAACCAGCATGCTTTGGGATTAAACTGGGACTATCCTGGGAAAACTGGGATGTATGGCCCCTTAGATCTGCAGTGCTATAGTAACGGTCATCTCTTTACGCTTTCCCTAATCACAGGATGTCATGGGCGGCAGGGAGTGGAGAGATCTTCCCGCCCTCTCTTTCGCAGAGGAGGAAAAGTGAGGTCCAGCATTGAACACTGACTTCCTGAAGGCTGTGCAGCTCGTGAGTTATGTGGGGTTATGTGGGGGTGTGAACCACTGTGGTCATGGTGGTAGAATGAGAATGCTTGTGGAGTCAGGAGACTTCTGCTTGGATCGAGCTCCTGTCGGCGACACGGCTGCGCAGTCTTACTCTACAGTCTATGCCTTGTTTCTTCTACTAACTTTAGAGCTCCTTAGAGATAGGAATTGAGAGTTCTGGGCCTTCACCTGTCAGACACAGGCTTGATGCTTGGCACGTAATAGGTACTCAGTAAATATTTGGCTGAGGACATTTTAAAACAACCAAATGTGCTGAGAGTCGCATTTTTGCTGGGGCGAGCCCACAGGCTATGTAGAAAAAGAGAGGAAAAAAAAAAATCCAATCCATCCCAGGGATGGCACTTGGCCTGGCTGTGCAAAGTGCAAGAACCTCATTGGTTACCCCAGCCCAGGGGCTGGCTCTCGAGGCTTGTGCGCAGCGAATGAACAGTCTGTGGTATTACAGAGGAGAGCATCATGAAACTGCATCCTCTTGCTCCGTACCCCTGGGAGCTCCAGCATCAGCCAGCAGAGCTGCCGTGAGCCGGGTTATGACTTGTGTGGTGGAACTCTGTGTGCTGTCCAGAAGCGGCTGTTTCAGAGCTTTGATCTCCCCTAACAGCATCCTTGTCCTGGGAGCTCAGATCATGGAGACGATCCACACTCTGCCGGGCCTTGCCCTGGGGGTCCTGGCCAATGTGAGAGCCCGGGCCTCGATCACTGGCATCTTCCTTTCAGTCCTGCACCCTTTGCTGACCGCCCCAGTGGCTGTGGGCTAACTCCCTCTCAGCCGTCCATCAGCCCCCTCTACTTGGCGCCATGCCTCACCAGGCCTGCCGCAGGGATTTAGGAAAGCTGGTCTGTCTCTCTGATTTTCCTCCGGAGAGCAAAGCAAAAACACTGGTCTGAACAGCAGAACAATGGAAGGACAGAGAGAGAGAGAGAGAGAGAGAGAGAGAAAGCATGTGCGAGAGCACACGTGAGCACGCACATCTCCAAAATGTCACTGTGATGTGAGCCGCGAAGAAACTTAACACGTTCCAGCTCTTCGGCTGGAGGTTGCCAGGAAGCCTGGCCTTTGCATGGAGCAGATCTTCTGCAACTGCGTCGTGAATGAAGAAACCTAAGTGTTGCTTTAAGTGAACCACACCTGTTACATGCCCCCTTCACTGGGAAGCCTCTAATGTTGGGAGTCCTTACACGAGGGGCTCCTTTCCTGGCCTGTACTTGACAAGACGTGGCTCTCCACTGGCCTGGATCATTTATAGGCCAGGCCAGTGGGACGGGATTTCTCTTTTCTCTTCTGTCTTCTTCGAGTACAGAAAGTGGATCACCACGGGGCTCTTAAGACTTGGGCTAAATTTTGCCATATGTGACCATGGTGTCCTCTTGTAAATGCTCTCAGAAATAATGTTCTTGGACTTCCACCTTCTGGTATCATGAAATAGGAAGGGGGAGCCCAAGCTGTGTGGTCACTCAGACCTAGGTGTAAATCTCCGCTCCATCCCCGAGGAAGTGATCAGGCAGGAGTTGGTTAACTTCTTTGTGCCTAAGTTTCTTTCTACTTATGCCAATAATATATAACATTATATGTAAGGAATAGAAATATAAAGTATATGTGTGTCTGTGTGTACACATACCTATGCTAGTTGTTCCCTGAGGCTGCATAATATAGCTTCTTGGAAGTACATGGTACATACTGATGGACAGTAGGTACACACCTTGGTTGAATGAGCTATGTGTGTAGATCCATAATAAAAAGGACAGCTACTTGTTATCGTTAGCTCCTCTACCTCTGGGGCACTGGTCCAAGAACCTAGTTTTGATTTGATCTCCATTTAGATCGTATTTTGGTGCTCATAAGACGTTATTGTATTCAATGTGCCTGCTACATACTAATGGTAGAAAAGAATGTTGATTAGAGTAATGAGAACAATATAGGATGGAGAAGATATGCAAGCATTTATACTACATGAATGCATTTCTTTAAATGATTGTTTTGAATTGAATGACTAATACACATGTACACAAATACTCAATAAAATAAAATCCAAGTTCCCCTCTTGCTTCCAACCTTCAGTTCCCCTTCTTAGAGACAATCACTGTGGTAGTTTTAAAACATGGTTGTCAATTCTTTGACACTCCTTCCATCAGGGGTGTCCTAGCCTCTGTGACATCAATGTATTCTAGGTAGATTTTTTTTGTCTCCTTCCCTCTAATCAAGACAAACTTATGATTGCTTTGACCACTATACTCTAGTGGAAGTGACTGTGTGTGACTTCTGAGTCGAGGTCATCAAAGACCATGCAGCTTCTGCGTTGGGCCCCTGGGATGCTCATTCTTGGAGCCCTGATTTCTCATCAATGATATCTGACTCTCTTGAGGCCACATGCTGTGAGGGAGCCCCACTCGCATGGAGAAACCACAGGTAGGCTCTCCTGTAGACCATCGCAGGTGAACCCAGCCTTTGAATCATCTCTGTCCAGGTCCTAGAAACTTCAGTGAAGAAGCTTCCAGATAAGTCCAGTCCACAGCCATTCAAAGTCTTCCCAGCAGAGGTCCCGAGATGTTGTGGAACAGAGACATGCCAACCCCAATGTGCCCTATTTGAATTCCTGAGCTACACAACCCATAAGCAGAACAAAATATTTGTTGTTTCTGCACCACTAAGTTTTGAGACGGTTTGTTTGTCCATAGTTTGGATAACTTGAACCATCACTATTATTGTGCACCTGTCCAGAGAGATTTCAGACATATATAAACGTACACATGTTCATGTGTCACCCCCCTTTTCCTCTTAAGGCAAAAGGCAACAACCTAGGTATACTGTTATATACCATATATATCTATATACCAAGTATATATATACCTATATACCAAGGGGTCAACTAAACAAGGATCTACTCACCGGCTTGCGGACGTCAGGTAAGGTAATCCAGAGGGGAAACACTATGGGGAACACAATGAGGAACGTGACTTGCTTGCGGGGGTTGGAAGGCCAGGCCAGGCTGAGAGGCTGGTCGTCCTCATCTTCACCTGCCTCCGTGGTCTGTTGAGGAAAGACAGAGATGAAAGAATAAACGAACAAAAAAGACAACAATGTGCAAGAGCAAGAGCACGAATCCAGGGAGGGGCGCTCGGGTGCCCCTCAGGAGTTTTCTCGGGTCATCCCAGCAGTTCATCATGTGACTTTTAGGCTTGTACGAGAGCCCCATCTGTCACAGTCTGGATCAGGGACAGACAAGACACACGCACCCAGGGGGACTGAGGAACTTCTTTTTCTCTCCCTGAACAGTCTTCAGCTTCTGCCTTAAAGGAAGGGATCATTCAGCTGGGGTGGCCCACAGCAACGATCCACGAACTTTTTATGGAAACCACATCCATAGACCAAAAGACTTGAATGTCCACCTTTTCCTCCTTTTCCCTTCTCCTTGAAGACAAAGCTATAGGATTCATTCCAGGAATCCTTGGGAAGGATTTTTTTTTTTTAAATTAAAAATTTATAAAATGTATCTTTTTATTTTTAAAAATAAATTTATATGTATTGACAGCATTGACTCTTTGTGGGCAAAGGCAAGTAACCATAGAAACGATTCAGTAACAATACTCCGCTTCCTTCCCTGGCCCTGGAATCATCAAGCTCACGGATTGTCGTGTGGTTGTGTTTTTAACCATGCACAATCATCTTGTTAAATTCCAAACCATTTTAATTCCAGCCGAAGCCTTGTTACACAAACACGTGTCCCATTCTCAGAGATACAAGAGTATGGGGGTTGAGTGAGCCACAAAACCTGGGTGGGGGGTGTCAACGGCACGGGATCTCAGAGTCCGGGGTGAACTTGAGAGCTTCTGACCTAGCAGCCCGCACCACCTGCTGAGGTCAGAGGCTTCTGAAGTCCCAGAGCAGCACACCCTCTCCCACCAAGGGGGCGGAGGGGGCAGGCTCAGGCCAGGAGCATGGGAGAAAAGGACTCACCCAGACGCAGGGCTGAGTGTGAGGCCTGACAAAGTGCAGTATAATATTTATTTCTAACTTAAGCCCTAGTACTGCCAAAAGGATTTGTAGTGGTTTACACAATCACCCACACTCTCTCTCCAAGAGTTAACATTAAAAAAATGTCTATGTAAAAGGAACCTTAAGCCATACTGAAAAAAGTTGGTAATCACAGGTTCTTTCTCTCTGGGCATATGTCCTTGGCAGTGGGTAAGTGAGTGTATAAGCAACAAATATGGGGGAATTAAGAGGATTAGGTCAAAAGGCAGAATGAGGAAGTTGGCACAGTGTTTTTTTTGTCATTGGATCCTCTTTAAATATATTTCTCATTCTCCCCATCCCTTTGTTAGGCACCATATTGGAAAAGAAGAAAGAATCAACGATCTATGTTTCTTTCTTAGGAAACTAGAGAAAAGAGAGCCAATTAAATCCAAAGTAAGCCGAAGAAAATAGATAACAAAAAAGTTACAGGAGAAATCAATGAAACTGACAGGGAGGGAGTCCATAAAGTCAACAAGACCAAAAGCCGATTCCTTTGCTAAGCAATTCATATGGTTCTGCCCACTGCTTTCTTTTCTCCATCCTGAGGGCTCCCGTCCCTGATGGAAGCTTGGGCATACTATCTCTGGTTCCCTCTTTGAGACAACACCACGTCCTCCCAGGAGATACAGCAGACATAGAGAATATCATTCCCCACCAAGATTGCCAGCCTTCCAGGGTGTCAGCTGGCCCGCATGAATAAGCCCTCTGTAATGAGGGCAAGGAGGATTTAGGAGACAGGCACATTTTAACTGCTCCCTCCCAGAAAAGATCTTTCTTGTTGGGCCCAAATGAATGACTCTCCCCCACCCCCCGCCCCGCTCCAGTAGATGCCTCAGAAATGGGGAGGAATCATGGGATAGTTGACGGATTACATCATTCCTAATAAGTACCTCATCTCATACCAGATGGGTGGTTTTATTCAGGCAGAGGATTCCAGCACTTCGAAGACTCATCCAGCTCATCTGACAAATTCATCGAGGCTCCTCCCCGCTTCCAGGACTGACCCTCCCGGCCCCCAGGTCCCTCTCAAACCGCCATCTGCAATCCAGCAACTTCCCTCTAAACTCTGAGCTAACCTTTCTCTGAGAAAAAACCAAAAGCAACTCTTGATGACTCATATCGTTTTAATGACACCGACAGATGGTGACATTTCATCAATAACCCTTCTGCTTATAACCTACGGATTAGCCCCTTTCTCCATCTGCCAAAGTCACCAGGCAGGCAGTGCCACTAGCAAATAGAAGAAAATAATTGTCTGTTTAGATGCATAAACTCTAAACATACTACTGTCCAGCGCAAACAATTAGCTATATTGTGCAGACGCCAAAAGCTGCATTTGAGGTGGCGTTTTGCTAGGGCAGAAATGGGCAAGGGGAAGAGCTGGGTCTCAGGCCAGACAAACAGTGCTCTTCAGGCAGAATCCATGGCCCCTTGGGGAAGAGTCCTGCTACTGAGTACAGGAGCCCAGAACCTTGGGGTGGACTTGAGAGGTGTCCTGGGAGCAAGGCTGTCGGTATATTTTGGGGAAAATTTTCATTGTCATCTTGCCAAGCGCCATCACACTCTAGTTCAATGGGCAACAGCTTGCAAGCTGGTTAGAAAAGTGGAGAGAATATACTGTTCCAAGTCTGGGCACATTGTGCCTTTGCCCAAGCTGGGGCTGCTGGCGTGTTTATTAGTCCCAACCCCGGTGAGAGGCCACTGAGGTTAGGGCACCAATTTTTCAGTTTTTCCTAGACTTGTGGCACCGTGGCTTTGACCTTGTAGCAACCCATCCTAGCCCCCTAAATCTCCTGTGGGGTGTCTGCAGAAAACAAAACAATGAAAAATAATCTGGAAAAAAATTCAAGTGACTTCTGATAGAAGGACTTAAAATAGTCTGATGCCTGCTGGGGTCTCTGTAGAAGCCCTAGAATTGTGTGAAACCGGGGCCAGCAATCACTGCTTCAGGGTTTTCTAATTTCTGATATGGAACTTCTGAGACGAAAACGCACGGCTTTAAGTTGCCACAGAATGTGTGCTGCTTGTCCGACCATGAAGGGATCCGTGCAGCGTGGTGAAATGAGGAGGTGCTGGAAAATCAGCAGAGCTGGCTTCCAGGCTCTGCTCCTGCTGTGATTTCTTGGGCAGTGACCACCATCATCTACGGGTAATCACTGAGTGCCTTTTGGTGTGAACTAGGGCACTAGGTTCTAACTCTTGGTTCCAAGGAAGCTTGGACTTAAAAGAGGAGACAGAATGAATGGCCACCTGGGTGGCTCAGTCGGTTAAGCGTCTGTCTTTGGCTCAGGTCCTAGTCTCTGGGTCCTGGGATTGAGCCCCATGTTGGGCTCTCTGTTCAGGGAGGGGTGCTTACAGAACATGTGGCAAGAGTTCTTTTTTTTTTTTTTTTTTTTTTTTTTGTGGCAAGAACTTCTGATTCTGCCTGTTATGAACTCAACTGTGCCCTCCCCCAATTCCTCTGCTGAACTCCCTGACCCCAATATCTCAGAATGCAGCTGTATTTGGAGAGAGGGCCCTTCGGATAAAATGAGGCCATTGGGGTGGGTCCTTGTAAGGTTTTCTCATGAAAGATTAGGATACGCAGAGACGTATCAGGGGCTTGTGTGCACAGAGGAAAAGGCCATATGAGGACATGGTGAAAAGATAGCCATCTGCAAGTCGAGGAGAGAGGCCTCAGAGGAAAACAATGCTGCTAGTACCTTGATCTTGGACTTCCAGCTTCCAAACTGTGAGGAATCGTTTCTGTTGTTTAAACCATTCAGTCTGTGGTAATCTGTTAGAGCAGCCCTAGCAAACTAATACACTGTCCAGCTGCATCGTTGCTAGAAAGAACACTTTCATCTAGGCCCAGAATAAAGGCTCAGTTTTCAGCCTCTCTTGCAATGAGGTGTGGCCCTATGAGGTTCTGGCCAATGGGAGGTCAACAGAAAAATCCTCTGCAACTCTGGGATGTATCTTTAAAGAATGGAGGTGTGTCCTTCATCTCTGCTTCCTGCCGGCTGGAATAGGAACATTTTGGCTTGAGCTTTAACAGTCATGTTGGACCATGAAGTGGAGAAAAACTACAAAAGGATCTGAGTTCCTGACACCGGTCAAGGGCTGTTCTAGTCCTGAGCTACATATGCTGACTTGGGAGAAACTGAAAATTCTCTTTTACTCAAGCCAGTGTTCCTTGGGTTTTTGGTTGCCCCCAGTGGAACCTTACCCTGACTAATGCAATGTCCTCTTTAGGAGGAATCAAGAGAGGAAAATATCTTTCACGTCTCAGTCCTAGGAAAAGTCATGCTTCTTTTGAGAAACGTTGAAAAATCTCAGAAATACTGTGACTCAGGCAAATGACACTATTTTTCCCTCTTGCTTTGCACGGGGGACTTCAGAGCCAAATTTGTAGCCTCCACCCACTAATCACAGCCCTGGGGTCTGTCTCACTTCCTCCAGTCCCACTCTTTCCTTTTCCTTTACATCTTGTGCTGAATTTTCTCAAAATTCTTCATTTTATCCTTTTCCTCAGAAGTATTTTTATAAGCAGCCTTGAATCTTAGTAGAATGAGGTAGGCCAGACTTACAACTAGAACTCTCAGTGGCTGAATGGAATTATTTGGATAACTGGGTGTGGATGTGTGTGCACATGTATGTGTGTGTGTGTGAGGGAGAGAGAGAGAGAGAGAGAGAAAGAGAGAGTGTTACCCTAAGTGACAACTACACGATCACCTTCTAGGATTCATTTATCAAGACTGAAGCCTGGACCCTGGAGGTCTGGCCATGGAAAGACAGAAGAGAACAGGAGGTCTCTGATACCAACAAGTTATTTTTTATTTATCTCATAAATGGGAGGAGAGCCATAGCCTGTCCATTTGTGGCCTACTACAATGAGAATCTTCTTATTTCATTGATTGATTTTATTTATTTGAGAGAGTGAGAGAGATCACAGAGGGAGAGGGGAGAAGGCGAAGCAGACCCTGCTCAGCAGGGAGCCCAATGTGGGGCTCAATCCCAGAACC